AACAAACAAATAAATAAATAAAAGCCAACAGAGTATTTCTTAGGAAGCTTAATCAAAATTAACTCTGAACTTAATAACCCACTGAAAACCCAAAATAAAATAACTGCTTTCATAAGAACATTCAACAGATGAATAAAACAATTGTTTTATTTTATTCTTCAGTGGTATTCTTCAGGAGACCTCACTTTTTGTGAAGGAATTTTTCAGAATGTGAGATTTTGCCCTACTGAACTTAGCTGGAATAAATCACTGTGCCATTGTATAAATGCAACAAATGGCAAAAATACTCATATTAGATTAAAAGAAAGTTTGCATATAGCTATAAATGCAGATCCATATAGATATAGGGCCAGGCAGCCCACAGTTAACAATGAGTTGCCATTGTCTTCCAACAAATTATTTTTAAGGCTAATTATAAAATTCAGACATTTTGATCCATGCTAATAGACCAGCTACCAAAGTTTACTTAACTCCCCAAAATAACTAAGAATACACATAAATCAAGGTGTCTTAAAGTATGAGACCAATGCTAAGAATATCAAGGCTTCTACGGAAACACAGTTGACCCCTGAATAAAGCAGGAATTAGGGGCACCAACCCCCGCACACTTGAAAATCCATGTATAACTTTCGACTTCCCAAAATCTTTAACTACTAATAGCCTACTGTTGGTTACAAGCCTTACCAAAGACACAACAGTTGACTAACACATATTTTGTAGGTAACATGCATTATATACTATATTCTTATAATAAAGTAAGCTAGAGAATATGTTTTTTCAAATTGTTACAAATCTTCAAAATATTTCCAATATTATTTATTGAAAAAAATATGCATATAAGTGGACCCACACAGCTGAAAGCTGTGCTGTTTAAGGATAAACGTATGTTCAGAATCCCAATCACGGGAAACATCCACGCTGAGGGGAAGCTGGGACTCTCCCAGTTCCAAGTCGCCGACGGCCCCATACACAGAGGGGAAGAGCCTCTAACAGGTATGGGAGGGTTGCCAGGAGGGGCGTGGGGGCCCCATGAGGGACAGCTGGGAGAGGAAAGAGACGGGAGAGCAAGCAGCCCCCTGGGCACCCAGTCACTGCCGGCAGGACTACCTCCCAGCCCGCAGCCCTCTCCTTAGGAAAGCTGAGGACTGGCTGTAAACCTCTCCTCCCCACTGTCCTCACGATTCTTTGCACTCGAGTCTTTCCCTCTTCTACTGTTTCTCGTCTGACCCACTTTTCTGCCTTTGAAGTAATTTAGGTTTTCTAAAGTTTCTACTGCTTACAAAAATAAGGGAGAATAAAAAGCTCTATTATGCTCCTTTTCTGCAACTTAGGCCCTGTTGGGGACGGGAACTAGTATTTACTGTTCAGCTACTACATGTCACTGAGTTAGCCACTTTCATATCTGTTATTTACTATAATACAACTTCACAAGGCAGCAAGCAAAAAGCCCACTGAACACATGAGGAAACACACTCAGAAATGTGAGACGGCCTGCTCAAGGACATACTAAGGGTACAGGGTAGCCCCGGGATTCAATAGGCCAGTCCCCTCTAATCCAGGCTCCCGCCCTTTCTCCCTTACCTAGGAATGCTCTGATGGTAACAGTGGCTCTCTGGTATGGGAACTTAAAATCTGAAAACTCCCCTGTATCTCAGGCATACCCAGGCTCAAGGCATGTGGGTGGGATCTGATGTACAAATAAGAAGGATCTAGAGCAGGTAGGACCCATTTTCTCTTCTTTCCCATTGTAACCCATGGCCACAGCTTGACTGGGGTAATATTGGGAGGCAGCGGCAGGGGAAGTCCAGGCAGAATTAAAATCTCTGTTGTCAGGAAAGGGGAAGGGAAGGGCACAGGAAAACCTAACAGAGTATTTAGGTGAGGAAGGCATCGGGTAGCTCCTGTAACAGCCGGCCAGGAGGCACTCACCAGGCATCTTAAAGTCAGACACTTTCAGGTTTGTAACTGCCCAGCCTGGAAGAAGGCTATTTCATGAATCATATTAAAAAATCTCATTTCTGAGAACACCAGGAATAAACAGAAGTCCCGTGGCACTTCTCAATTTTCATTCACAGTTTCTGCTTGCCAAGAAATAAAATGGTATGTGCTTAGATCAGAATTCTCACTTACCAATAATTCAGTAGAGTACAAATGCATTGTTAAGATGTTTAAAACAAAAACAATGCAGAGTAATTTAATAATTTCTATCTACTTACCTTCTATAATATGCCACTTCCAGGAAGGATTTGGAAATATTAAATGCTGTGATTAGCAGACAGAAATATAAGAATGAAATTCTCTTTCACAAGAGAAAAGAGCTCACAGAAGTTTACAGTTCACAGATGGCCAAAAATCATCAAGACTCATTAAAACCATGGATAACAAGAACACAACATGTACTTCCTGCAATACAGCAAAACAATCCTTTGAAAAGTCCTCCCACTGAAAATAAGTAATTACGGGAAAACATAAACAAGTCAGTGTGATTCCAAGAATATAGGATAATTGGAAGCCAAAAAATTAAAAGAAAACAGAACCCACAGAGATATAAGTGTAGCACTAAAGCAGGCTTTCCCCTTGAAGACATTTACCAACTGTGTGAACATGAGCTTTTGTTTTTAGACCTTGCAGGGTGCCGAGGACAGGAGACAAAGGCCGAGTGGAACAGACTAAGGGCAGATCTCAAAGGATGACATCTTCAGCTACAGGTGAAGCAGAAGTAAGCCCAGGCCCATTTCTCGTTAGAACAGTTTTGGTAAAAGGCCAGATAATAAATGTCTTAGGCTTTGCAAGACATACAGTTTCTGCTGCAACTATTCAACTTTGCCACTATATCAGGACAATATCCACAGATGACACATAAATGAAGAAGAATGGGTGAGTTCTGAAAAAACTTTATGTGAAAAACAGGTGGCAGGCCAGACTGGGTCAGAGGGAGGTAATCAGCCAACCCCCATTATGAAATAACTGCAAGGATCATAATTTCTGATCTCAAACATTAGAACTAATTGACAGGGGACTAAAAACAAAAACAGATATATTTCTAGGAAAATTCATCACCACAAGTCAGAACTCATACTTCCAGGTATCTAAAAAAGATCTTATTCCAAGAATATAATTTAAAGTGATCCCAGGTGGCTGATGCCCAAGGCACCTAGCAGAGGAAAATATAAATCACCTTTGGAAGAACTCATCAGTCCCTCAAAAATTTCCATTGATCTGAGCAATCATTTAATCACAGAACACAGAGAAGAAGTGAGTAGTCATGAAACAGAGCCAGCAGAGGTAAAAGGGAGTAAAAGCACTTGTGTAAAGATTTCAGACACTGGAATTATCAAACATAAAAGATTTTATGTGTAGACTAAAAAGTTTTTAAGACATTAAAAGAAGAAACTGAATATGTGAATTAGGAGCAGGAAGTTAAAAAATAACATTTAAAAAAGAAAGTAAAAACGATACATTTTTACATGGCAAATTTGGAAAAAAAAAAACAACTAGACCTCTAGAGATGGAAACTAAAACAAAGTAAGAACCCAAGGAAAGCAATGAACAGCAATTAGGCACAGCTAAAAACAGCAGTAAAATGGACAAAGGATCTGGAGAATCATCCCAGAATGCAGAGACGAAGACATGGAAAATATGAAACTAGTTTGAGAGTCATGGATGACAGAGGATAGGGTAACATGCATTTAATCAGTTTCATAAGGAAAAAGGAGAGTGAATGGTACAGCACCACTAACAGTACAGAAGAACTGATGGCTGAGAAATTTTCAGAACGATAAAAGATACCAAACTACATATTGAGGAAGCCTAACAAATTCCAATCAGAAAAATAAAAATAAATGCACAATAGACACCACAGTAAAATCGAAGAACACCAAAGATTTTTAAAAATCTAAAAAGATAAAAATAAATAAGTCTTTGGAATGTATTGTACAGCATGGTCACTATAGTTAATATTGTATTATAGATAACAAAAATTGTTAAGAGCACCAATCTTAAAAGTTCTCATCACAAGAAAACAAAATTTGTAATTATGTGTAGTGATAGAAGTTATCTACACTTACAGTGCTGATCATTTTACAATATGTACATGTACCAATTTCAATGTTGTACACGTGAAACTATAAGATGTCAAATATATATCAAAGAAAGGATGTAAAATATCTCAATCCTCTTATAATTTGAAAAGGATACTGTTAAAAATATAAGTTCAAATATTTTAAAATTACTTTGGAATAAGTTTTATTATTTCAATAATAGATGGAAGTTTAAGTTATTCAATTACTTGACACTATTTCAAATACTATTTCATCTAAATAAAAAGGAAACAAGATTGGTGAAATTGGGCAAGAGGATAAAAATGTACAATTTCCAATTATAAATAAGTCATGGGGTGAAAAGCTTAGCATACGGAATAAAGTCAATAACGCTGTGATGACTTGGTAGGATGACAGATGGCAACTATACTCATCCTGAGGAGCTTCTGCAATGTATATAATTCTTGAATCACTATGTTGTATACCTGAAGCCAGTATAATACTGTATACTGTATGTCAACTAAACCAATCAGAAAAAAAATTTTCTTAGCACAAGTTTTTCTACCATAAGGATTATCTCGGTAATTTAAAAAATGTATTGAAAAGAAAGACAAAAAGGAGGAGATACACCCTCTCATCTACACACACTGAACAGTTCCTAGCTGTCCAGCTGGGCCTTGGTCTCAGAGCCCCGGGCCTCTTCTCCCAGGCCTTTCCACCCACCCAGCATGCCCACCCTGGCTGCCATGCCCTGCAAGATGACACTTTCAACACCCAGTGAGAGGTCAGAGGCGTCAGAGTCTCCTCTGGGCCACTCGCACACCTGCATTTATGCCACTGAGTTTCAGTACAGTATACAGACATCTGTCTGTGCTTCTGGGCTGGGGGCTCCTCTTCATTCCTGGTGTTGACTCAGGCATACAGGGTAAACCCCTATAATTAAGTACATTTGGTTTTTACCTCATCACTGGTGAGTTTCTTTGCTTTCAGTAATCTTTGAGCCTTATCTTCTTCGGATCCCTCATCACTGTCTGAAGAATAGATTCTGGCACGTTCCTCTGAAAGCAAAGGAATAAGATCTGTGACTGACTTTCAAAGACAGGGATCAATTCATTCCTAGGTTTTCCTTGATGAGTGTCTTTACTTCCTTCTGTACATTTCTCCCAGAGAAAACAAATAAAATCTTTTTGATTTAAAGATAAATATAAATTTAGATATGTTGAAACAAAGCACTTACCCTCTCAAAGACAAGAATGGCCCATCTGAACACTTTTAAATATTAAAAAGGCTTGTGTGCAAGGTGACAAAAGACACACACACCACAATTCTTCCAAAATAAGCTACTAAAGCCTGAGTCATTCTTTCATGGGACTAATACTTAATTCTAAAACAGGCTTTGAAGATAAAACCAAGAGGTGGTTTCCTGGTTCTGTAAAGGACCTGGCAACCTTTCTGTTGCCAAGAGGACGTTTCAAAGGGAGATGCAAACAATCAACAGTGCGGACACCCCAGCCCAGGGGAACCGCGGGGTAGAAGAGCAGCAGCTGACTTTAGCCCAGGACTAACCCCCTCACCTCAGAACACAAAGCCTGCCCCTTCTCCCCATTCTCTGCCTTTCTGACCACTGGACAGAACAGAACGCTAATGAAGTTGTCTATTCAGTTTTTAATCTCTGGTGAGCTGAATATGATATAATTCTCTCCCTAAAACATCCTTCATTTTTTGTTTATTATTTAGTTCTTATGTGGTTTACTTACACAATTAATCTTTTCAGTGAGAAATCAGCACTAAAAGAGAAAGGAAAGGTCTCTGTACTCTACAAATAATTACTAGGTAGGTAAGGAACGGTGTAAGAGTGCACCATAAAAGATACAGTCACTGCAAGAAAAGGAGAGAGGAGATTTATAGGATGGTCAGGGAAGGGGATATCTGAGTGTTCTTAAAATGCATCACTCAACAGAGAAAAAACTAGGATGTACAGTCACCCACGGTATATTGTACATTGCACAGTGATTACCAAACTCTATCTGGGGAACTAATCTGGGGAAGATTAGATCCCCATTTATAGATGGGGAACACATTGTTCAGAGATATGATGTCACCTGCCTGAAGCTGACGAGTAAGAACAGTAACAATAGTTTTAGGTAACATTTATTTAGTACTTGTTATGGATCAGGAGGTGGGTAAAGTACTTTATACGTATTTTATCATTTAATTCTCAAAACATCACGCTATAAATTCTACTGTTAATAGGTTATTTCTCCCCTGATGATGCAACAGAAGTGAGGTATTATAACTTTCCACAAGTCATCCAGCTAAAAAGTGGCAGAACTGAGTGAGATTCAAACAGAAAGAATCAAGAGTCCAGCCCAAAACTTCCATCGTTACGTTCAGCTTGCTTTTCATCATGTCGTCTTGCTGCTGGCTGCGGGGAGACGTCGGGGCGAGTATTGTGGCTGAGACAGATGCCTCAGAGGGCAGACGACCCTGGTTCAAGAACTGCCCACTTACTGTGTGTTTTGGGCAAGTTACTCAACCTCTCAAAGTCTCTGTTTCTTCAGTAATAACAAGACAAAAATGGATTGTGAGGGCATTATGCCAAGTGAAATAAGCCAAGCAGAAAAAAACAAATACTGTATGATCTCATTTATATGTCAATCTAAAAACAAAAACAAAACACTCAGCTCATAGATAAAAGAGAACAGATTGATGGCTGCCAGAGGCAGGAGCTAAGGGGTGGGAAAAATGGGTAAAGGGGGTCAAAAGTTACAATCTTCCAGTTACAAAATAAGTTCTAGGGAATGTAATGTACAGCATGGTGGCTATAGGTAACTGTACTGCATTGTGTATCTGCTAAAGAGCAGATCTTAAAAGTTTCTATCACAAGAAAAAAATTTCATAACTATATATGGGGACAAGTTAATTAGATTTATTGTGCTCACCATTTTGCAATATACACAAATATTGAATTGTTATGGTGCACACCCAAAATTAATATAGTGTTGTATGTTAATCACACCTCAATTAAAAAAAAAGAACAAGACAATAATAGTAGCTGGGTCAAAGATCACTGTTACAAAGATCAAACAGGATGCATATGAAGAGTCTGAGTGTTGCCTGGGATTCAGCATGTGTTCCATAAATGTTAACCATTTTGCTAGTTGTGAAAGAAGGGAATATGCAAAGGAGAACTTTGAAAGGAAACAACAAGTATTTTCTGAAAACTTTAACTCATTGATTCCCAATTAGTAAAGAAATTGAGAAAAGTTCCAGAAAGCAGAAGCTGAAGGGACTCGTCTGTAAGTAGGAGCAACAGCAGTTCCTACCCGTTCAGGCTCACCTGAAAGAATTCTGCAACGACTAAATTCATTAGACCTTTAAATATATCCTCAATAACACTGGCTCCTTAAAAATAAAATGTCAGTGGAGCATTCAGAGTATACCAGTTATAAAGAAAAAGCAGTTATAAAAAAGTGAACCTTGAAAGGACATTTACTTTCCGCACAAGCTTACCCCGAATGCCCCCCTTGTATCGGTTTTTAATGGCCGCCAAGCTGATGGACTCCTCGCCCTCCTCCTCCTCGTCGTATCGATCAGGTTCCAGGTAACTGGCACTCAGCCCCCGCTGGTGCTGTTTCTCTCTCATTCGGCGCTGCTGAGATTCCCTGCGAATAGAAGCCCTTAAACGTTCTTCTTCTTTCTGAAAAGAAGCAAATAAACAACTCTGCTTAAGAAAAGGAAGTATCTTAGTGCCCACTTGAAACCACCTTTATTATAAGAACTTATAAATGCCCAGCCCAGAATAACATGTATTTCCCGGGTCCTCAGAGCCCAGGTTCTCCCCATTTCACGCACCCTCGCCGTCCGCAGGGATCAGCTGGTTCGGCCCCGAGGCGTGAGGGCACCGCGCCAGGGCCGAGGCCGGGGGCGCCCTCCCACCGCCCCCCGACCGGAATGGGCGCAGGCCTGGCCGTGGGGGCCGAGCGTCCCCTGCGCGGCCGGCCCGAGGCACCTCCTCCCTGCCCGGTGCACGCCTGACAGAGGCTGTTCCTGTTCACTGCTCCCAATGTGGTCAGGCTCCACCAAACCGCCGTGAAGCCCCCACAGCCCCGCTCTCCCTGTGGGGGCCCCTCCACCCAGGGAACCCCCCATGGTCCCTGACCACAGGATGGGGACGTGCAGGTAGGGGCGGGTCCGAGCCCCCAAGGAGGCTCCACGTATTTCTGTTTGTCCGGCATTCCGCACATTGGGGTTCACAGGGCAGAGAAAAGGTACGAGAGGTCAGGGATATTCTAGCACTTCTTTGAATTCCTCATTTAATTGTTCTGTATTACTGCATATGACTCTTAATTCTGTTGCTAGACATTCTGTGCAGCAAATCATTTCTATAAGGAGTATGTGGTTGTACTGAATGCAGAGTAAAAATCACTGTCAGTAGGACAGAGATTAAAAACAACCAAGCTGATTCGTTGTGCATTTCCACAAAAGCTGGGGAAGTAGATGCAGACTTGGGGAGTAGGTGGTCCAGGGGCGTCCCCCAATAATGCTGAGACTGGAGTCTGCAAGTTCCCCCAACATCCTCGGCTGGAGGAGAAAAGGCGAGAAATGGAGTGAGAAGTCAGTCTTCAAAGCCAATGCCTCTAAACACTGGGTTTGGCTGTGCTACTGAACGTGGTTTGGTTGATCTCCACGAATGAAACACAAGGAGGAAAAAGAAGGGGCCCACGGCCAAAACGTTCAGCATGGCCTGACCATGAGATCAGAAATCAAGGCCCCGAGGCAACCCAAGTGTGTCGGCCTCACCGTACCCTGTTGCACAAAGGGATGAAATCGCACGACGCAGGCAGGGCAGTAGCCGGACCCAGCCAGCTCGGAGGAGATGCCTGAGCCTATCCCACTGCACTCGGCATCTCCAGGGACATGCTGCATGAAGGGCCAACGGTGTCAATACAAGCAAACACTCCATCATTTAGGGATGAGCCCAAAACCGAGTGTGTGTCTAGTTGGCAGGTCTGTCAGATCTGAAACTCTACCAGGTAGAACGTTATGAACTGCCCTTAAACACCACAAACCACTCTTTGCCCGATTCTGTTTCAGGCATGCTCTCATTCAAACTTGTGGTCTATTTTTATTCTATTTTAGACTAAATCTCTAGCATTTCCACTGATTTTTGACACAGACTCTAAACCACAGATGGTTCAGATGGTTTAGAATCGTCTGTGTCTAAACCAAGACATATGATTTAATCATCATTGAAACCAGCCAGTTTGTTGAACATGTAGGACCAGCGGGGAGAGAGCCCAAGCCCTTGTACCTGCTTTATAACCACTACCATATCACCTACTGTTCACTAAATGCTCAGGAGATTAATCCCTGTTCATGCCAGCTGGAAGAAGAAAAGGTGGGTCAATAAGAGGTAATGAATGGTTTGGGAAATGCTATTCTTAATATACCAGAAGTGCCAGGATAAAGCTTAGCAAACATACCTTAATCATTTCTGTGCGTTGACATTCAGGATCACGACCAGCCATTGGTAAGATTCTTATCTTCTGTGTTTTTGAACATCTATCTGCAAGTGACAGGGTCATCTTCCTGTGCGTGGCACTGTCTGTAGAGTGAGGTCTGCAGGAAGTGAGCAAAAAAGTCTCAGTGTTTACCAAATACATTTGTGAGCCAGTCAGATCAACATCCCAACAAGAGGCCATGACCATTTGCTATTATCTAGAAAATACAGACAAGGGCACTGAACTGAATACACTAGGTGGCAGATTCTGAACTTTTTTCATCAAGGCACACTGAAGCATCCTTACCTCTCAAGTAAATTGGGAGATGGAAAGCTGCAGTAAAGAAGGCCTTACAGAGCACAACCACCCTGTAGTAACGCTAAATGAATAGGCTCAAGCAGCATTTACTGAATACTAAGTGCCAAGCAAGGAACTTTGTATTTTACATGTCATGTGACTTCACTGTCATGGCTATTCTATGAGAAAGCTACTACATTTTATATATTAAGAAACTGAGGCAAAGAAAGATTGGGAAAGCTGCACGAGGTCTCCTTAAGTGGAAATGAGACTCAAATACAGGTCATTCTGATTCCAAAGCCTATACTATTAAAATTCTCAGAAAAGCTAAGTCTCAAAATAAGCACTAGCCCAGGAGGCTGGCCTGTTCAGTATCGAAAAAAGAAAAATACAAATATTTCAGTGTAGTGCCTACACAGTCTAGACTGGATGCTCTTACCAGCTGACCCGAGTGTTTGGGGCTGTCTGGGGGGTACATCCCTGGAGTGGTACTGGATGCAGCAGCCTATGAAACAGGCTGACCCCAGCCTTCACACCCAACTCACTGCCCCTCCTCTGACTGTATGCGTTCTAACAGCCCCAGTTACCAGTTAGTCTCAGCAGGAAAAGACACACGGCCCAGCAAGCATTCTAAGCCTCTTGGCAGTTACAGTAAACACTATAATAAACTGACTTTCTGGCTTCTATACGAGTCTCTTCTAAGTTTGGTTAGCATGACCTGTTCCTGTGAAACAGGAACTTTAAATGGGCTTGACAAAACAGCCTACAAACCTTCAGCGCTGAGAACCAGACCTCGGGCCTTGGTGACCCACACTGTGAAGTTACACCAATCAGGAGGCAGGCATTCTGGACAACATCCTATTTCACCTCTTTTACTCTAACAAATAGTATGTTGCTAGAATAGTTACCTGAATGTGAGTTTGGTTTTAAAGACGGCTTGTCCCTGTAGACCAGTACCTTGTCTTATGAAGAGGTGGTTGTGATCGCCCTGCAGTGGAGCTTTGTAAACATCAAACACTTCATTGCCTAAATGCAGAGACATGCTGAAAAAAAGGGGCACTTCATGTGTTAAAGTCACAAAGCTTTCATTCTACCATTTTATTTCACTTAAAATGTGATTCAACTGCTGCTTTCTTTCCTAGCACAGAATTCAGAAGGAAAGAAAATAACGAAGGCATGATGTGAAAAACAATGTATACAGAGGTAAAACATGCTGTGATATTAATTCAGGCTCTATTACCTCCCCACGAAAGGGAGTTTTTCTAACATGCCACTTAGAGTAGGCAGCACGCAATGGGGAGGGGAGCTGGTCTAAGTTTTCCAAACTACTATGCTGTAGCCAAAGAGGATGATTGCCTTTTCAGCCCACTTTTAATGTCTTCCACAAGGCTGTATGACCCTCAGCTACCTATTTATTCCTCTCAGGTTTTCTATGCAATGCCAGACCATTCAACAATGGAAATTCTTTAATAACAGATAGTCCCAAAATAAGGTCTTATTCCAAAACTTGATCCCTCCTAGCCACATTCTGGGTATTTCGATACTCTTCAGGTATTTTGTGCTCACCTGCCATCTGACCACTTCACTATCCTAGCATTGCTTTCTTTAATTTCATTTCCTTCTTCATCCCGGCGTATCCTCCATCGTATAGTATTTTCTACCTGTTTTAAAACACAAGTGCCTTACACTGGAATATTATTCAGCCATAAAAAGAGAAGAAATCCTGCCATTTGCAACATGGATGGATCTAGAGGGTATTGTGCTCAGTGAAATAAATCAGGCGGAAAAAGATAAATACCAAATGGTTTCACTCATTTGTGGAGTATAAACACAAAGCAAAACAGAAGGAACAGAAAAAGCAGTAGACTCATAAACACCGAGAAGGGACTAGTGGTTACCAAAGAGGAGAGGCTGGGGAGGGAGGGAGAAGGGGATTAACGGGCACTGTAATTCACAATCACAACACAGGTAGGTCACTGGGATGGTAGCACAGCATGGAGAAGACAAGTAATGACTCTGCAGCATCTTACTACACTGATGGACAGTGACTGCAATGGGGTGGGGGTAGGGACTTAATGATATGGGTAAGTGTAGTAACCACATTGTTTTTTCATGTAAAACCTTCATAAGAGTGTATATCAATAATACCTTAATAAAAAAATATGCCTCAAAAAAAAAATTCCAACAGGAAAAAAAATAGGCTTAAGTGAATTTCTGCGCATCTAGTGTTAGGATCACAGAGGGACCTGAGTGCCAGAGCATTTGAGCAGATGCTACCTCTGTAGTAACCTTGGGATGTTTCAAGACACAGTAAGAATTACAAGGACAGGAGATAAGGCTTGAAGCTTTATGAAGTAGCAATTTAGAACTGAGATTCCTTATGTGAAGCAGGTTCTCTGACAGAGCTAAGAACCATATAAAGGTGGGATAAAAAAAAAAACTGCTTATTGCCCAGGGAGATAGGGAAGCTTCCACATATGGTAAGGAAAAAGCACCCTATGAAAACTAAAACCCCGGGTTTGAGCAGGTTTAGAGTCTATTTTCATTTAAACTGCATGTGGGGAAACACCAAGCAAATCCAGAAAACATTCAAGATGTTCCTGTAATGAAAACCTCTGTTATTGATATTAAAAGCCCAGTAGAACTTCTGGGAAAATACAGAACACTACATGCACGTAGTTTATCACTGCTGCATCCTGGAAACACACCAAAATGAGGGTCAAAAATTTAAAAAGGATACACTCACATGTCTAAATAGAATGTGAATTAAGATGGCAACAGAGAGAAGCCAACATTTTGAAAACTGACAGATCTAAGCCCATGCTTCCCTATGCCTGTTCTCCCACCAACAACCCTAAAAGCACCTGCTCCCATTCCCACTTAGATTTTCTGGCTCTCCACTCTGTTAGCTGAGATGTCTTTGCAACCAGGTCCTAATGGTTCCCTCCCACCTGTTCCCTTTATTTCTTGATTCCTCACTAAGTAAACAACCAACCATGAAGCTGGCTGATGAAAGAACTCAATAAAATTCATGAATTAAATATGACGTTCATACCTGAGATTTGTTTCAAAACAGTGGGTAAAGTGGGATGGGAAACAAATAGATGAAGCAAGATTGCCCAACTTGACAACCACTGAAGTGAGTGATGGGCGCATCAGTTTATTACACTGTTCTTACTGTATTCGTGTATGTTTAAACTTTTCATTAATCAAGGAAACAAAACAACGTCACTATTCCTGCCTTTCCTCTCATATAGAATAAGTTAGCCACATATAAATATGCAAACATATATGGGCAATTATTAACAGAGAAGCCATTTTGAAAAATACTTTCTATTATATAAGGTGATTCAAATGATAAAAATGCTATGATAGGATGTACTGCTAGGTCTTTTCCTCTTGGGAATGAAAGACTCATTAAGGTAGTTCTAAAGACAGAGGACCTCATAGAGGCACATAAACTGTACCTGATTCCTTGTTCATTAGAGAATTAATGACACCATCAACTGACTCTTCAAGAAAGGTCAGCTAGTCTCAAGAACACTGCTCAAGAAACAAAGGGTCCAGGGCTACCTTCCATCACACCCCAAAGTTTTAAAAGACAGCAGCCTGTTATACACAAATATTTCATACTCTAAGCACCAAGATTTCAGAGTAAAATATTTATTTCTAAGTTTTGATTCCTATACTACAGTCTGCTATCACGTGGTCTGAAAATATAATAGATATGTCAATACTTGCTGATGTATCATGATAAAAGAGAAAAATGCAAAAATCAACAAATAAAAAAGGAACTACCACATTAATTTATTTACTGATGGGAAACAATGAAAAGCAGAATAATTCCAGAGGCACAAAAACAGGCATGAGAAATTGATAGTGCCAAACCTAAATCAATAGGTATGTTACATGTTCCAAGAAAAAATATCAGGTTAGTGGGGGCAAGAGGGAGGGGCAAGGAAAAGAACAGCAGAAAAACAAAACAAAAACCTGTCTACTAACTAATTGTATGACCTTGAGCAAGTTATTGGTGCCTGTTTATCTCCATTTTCTCATTTGATCTGCATTTTCATTAAGAGTGAGTAGTAGTAGTGAAATTTCACTGAAAAGCTTTGGAAGCCCATGTAGTTTGGACAGAAACCATCTTATACCAAGGTTCCTAGGTACCATAGTCCTATCACACTTTAAGAGATGGAATTATTCTAAAAATTCAGCCCCCAACTTCTAAGAATGCCAGACTGCCACTTCTTAACATCCTAGCACCATGTACAAATCCACCAAAAAATTAAGTATTTACAGGAAATCTTTCAAACTGAAGATTTTAAAATGCTTTTACATTTTAAAGCTCTAGTTTTAGTACCCTGAGTTCAAATCCTTCCTGTTCTTCGGTACAACTCAGCTCCAAAGCATCTACTTAAGCTACACCCTCCTTGATTAAAGGAAGATTAGAGGCCCTCCGTGGACAGAGATAACTGGACAGCACAAGGTATCAAAAAGCATTAACAGGAATTTAGTACAATAAAAATCTCTCCTAATAGTCAACCAGAGCAATCAGAAGAATACAAAAAGAGCCAAATGTGAAGTATTGGATACTAGTAATAAATTCTCCTTTTGTGGATTTGTTTATCCGTAGATCAAAGACTGTAAGGAATTTCCTCTTGCAGAAAGTTGCTAGAAGTCAACCCACAGTACATATGAAAGTAGTTAATTAACTTTTAAAAAGCAACAAAAAAGTGTAACAGTGAGAAAAGTCACAGAAAAATGACATCTTTACAGAGAAAAAGCTATATATTTTCTTCCTAAAAATATTCTGGAAAGGCAGATAAATTCATTTATTGATAAAACAGTAAGCATAAAAAATCATTTTTAAAAGCTCAACTGTCAAATGAGTATGCCTAGGTTTTATTTTATAAAAGAAAAAAGGAAGGAGTAAAGCAAGGAATGGTACCTTTAATTTTAACCTGGTTCGACCTTCTTCATCCAGCATTTCCTCATCTTCAAATTCATCTTCGTAATACTGAGGATCAAAGGGTCTACAAATTGTTTTTAAAATAAAGTATCAATCATATTTTGTAAGGAATATTATCACTGCCATACAATTAACATCTACATGAACACACATCATATACTAAAAAATCATAATGTAACTAAAAATCATATTGGTCAAATATCTTCATGTTCAACTTCAAGAAGTATTCCCATTACTGCAGCTTCTTGAAATGTGGTATTAATACATATTGCTTGAAATAAAGTAAAAGCAAGGCTAAATATTCACAGTATTCTTTATTCCTATGAACGTCTTCCAAAGAATGGGTCACATATCCTCTAGCTTTTCACATCGCTTTGTTTGGGAAAAAAAAAATTTCAGTCACCCAAGAACTTTCATGTTACTGAGTGAATGATCCCCAACAACACTGTTTAGTTGTCCCAAAGTACGAGCTTTCCTAGATGCACAATGGCTACTACAATGGACGCTGCAGCTTCTCCAGCAAACGTCGCCACTCTAGGTTTCAGCCTTTTCAGTGCTGCACTGGGCAAAAATACC